GGGAAATAAGCATATTACAAACAAATGGAGAGAGAAATGATTGAACAACACACCCTTCAGAGAGAGAGACACCACCAGCATGTATGTGTTTATATGTGTGTGTCACACACGCATATGCACACACACACCTAAGCAATGAGGGAGAGAAGGACCTCAACAGCAACAAGCAAGCTAAATTTCAGCTGTTCGATGGAAGAATCTCCACTGGAATGAACGATTCTAAGCTGAGCAGAGCTGGACTGCTCTGCCAGCTCTCATCAGTTAGCTCTCTTCTGGGTTTCCATTGTGGTCCAGTTCCTTGGGAGGCTGAAAACGGCCCAACTGGAATCGTGTTGTAATCAGTCTCTCCACCAGCTGATATGATGTTCCAGAGCAGGAAGAGTGAAGAACAAAATTCCCAAGACCAGCTGTCAAGACAGAGCCTGGCGTCCTTAGAGAGGCTTCTGGAGAAGTCCAAGCAAAAGCAGGGAGCCTGCCCGGCGCTGCCCCGGCAGCCTCGTGGCCGGCTCCGAGGTGGCCTGGCTGCTTTCCCCATGGGGGGCCTGGTAGGCAGGCGGCAGGGGCCGCCACGTGCAGGACCTGCCCGGGTGTGGGGATGTAGGGTCCGCTGGCCCAGAGCAGGTTCATCCTGCCAGGCCTGGATCCAAGCACAATCTCAGCTTTTGGAGCCAGCAGTTGCAGCCAGGCCGAATTCAGCTGTTCTGACCCAAGTTCAGCCAACAGGTGAGGGTCGGCCGTGTTCCCGGTGTTGAGAGCGCCGCGGGGTGCGCAGCAGGGTCTGAACCCGCCGGGATGACAGGATCCCGGCGATGCGGCCCAACAGGAAGCAAAGCACAGGGAGGCAGAAACGAGAAACTGTATCTCAGCCCAAGTTCTGAGTCAGTCGGCCCCGGGCCAGGTTAAGTAACTTAGGACTTGCAAAACCTAAAAAAACTAAAGCAGTAGAGAATTACCTTATACAGATGGCAAGATATGGACAACTAAGTGAGAAGGTTGATACCTTCTCAGAACGAGGTTTAATAGAAATCCTTAAAAAAAGTAAACCAGCAAACAGAAAAGACAACAACAGTGAAATTCAACAGAAGAAAAGTAATGGACTCTGATGAAGATAACGATTATTGAACTAAAAGTGTTCATAGACTAGAACTTAATGGAACGATTCTAGGACAGAAGTTAAGATCTGATTAAAAATTTGCTTATTGTTTATATGGCTTTTTAAAAAATAAGCTTGTTATGCAAAGTAAAAAAAAAAAAAAAAATGGCAGGGAGCCTGACGTTTTATAGAGAATGCTACAGTTCTCCAACTTAACTTCTATCAGCCAGGTTAGCAGTAGAGCTTTAACTGTAAGAAGAAGTGTATTGGTTTCTGTTGCTGCTGTAACAAATCACTGTGAGCATATTGGCTTTAAACAACACAAATTTATTATCCGACATTTCTAGAGATCGAAAGTTTAAATGGGTTGGCAGGGCTTCTAGAGTCTCCTTCTGGAGGCTCTAGGAGAGATTATGTGTCCTTGTCTTTTCCAGCTTCTACCAGCCACCTGCATTCCCTAGTTTGTGACCCAGTCCTCTGTCTTCAAAGCCAGCAGCACAGCATCTTCAAATCTCTCTCCAAACTGACCTCTGCTTCCCTCAACCCATCTCCCTTTCTCAGTGTGACTCTCCTGCCTCCCTCTTTTCCTTCTAGGGACATTTGTATTTACACTGAGCCCAACCGTATAATATAAAATAATCTCTTTATCTCAAGATCCTTAACACTTGCAAAGCCCCTTGGCATGTAAGGTAACATATTCACAGGTTAGGATGAGGACATCTTTAGCGGTGAGGGAATATTATTCTACCATAAGAAGCTTCCTGCTGTATCCATTGTAGCAACTTTCTCTTTGGTTAAATCACTTCATCCTATTTGCCTTTGAAAACTTTACCTTCTGAACTAATTGATGTTCTGAGTGAGAAACACGTGAGGGGAGAAGAAAAGACACACACACACAATACCTTTAAGGGTAAACAAGCTTTATCCCACATAAATGGCAATGCAGATATAATAAGCAAATTGATATAATAAGCAAACGATATAACAAGCAGATTGATATAATAAGCAGATTGCAATGGGAAGGGGAGAAGGGAAGAGATTTACATTCACAAGACTATGCAGGATTCACCCCCAGACTGGGAAGCAACAACCTGGGCTCCAGAGTCGGCCACTCGTCTGTGTACAGATGATGAGAGGTCTCATGAAGGTTCGGCGCACTCTGGGACCCTAACTCTTTTTGTAACAAGTTGTTTGGCATGAGGCCCAGTCACGAGAGCCCTTTGCGACTGGGCTCAAGGAACACAAAAAAGTCAACCTGTTTTTGTGATTGTCTATTGTTTTTCAATAACTAATGTATAGGAATTGATTGAAATAGAGATTTCTCCGAAACAGTGCTGGATGAATGCCTCAAGGGGCTCACACAACATGTTCTGGGACTTGGTGACCATTGTTTGTGTCCATGTTCAATTGAATTCAAATTTAATATTTAACTTTTCCTCCACAATTGATTAGAACAGTGGCACCAGAGGCTAGCACAGTGGCTTACACCTGTAATCCCAGCACTTTGGGAGGCCGAGGTGGGCGGATCACTTGAGGTCAGGAGTTCGAGACCAGTCTGGCCAACATAGTGAAACCCCGTCTCTACTAAAAATTCAAAAAAAAAAATAGCCAGGCGTGGTGGCATGCACCTGTAATCCCAGTTACTTAGGAAGCTGAGGCATGAGAATCACATGAACTCAGGAGGCAAAGATTACAGTGAGCCGAGATCGTGCCACTGCACTCTAGCCTGAGTGACAGAGTGAGACTCTATCTCAAAAAAACAAAACAAAGCAAAACAAAAACAAGGCTGGCCGCAGTGGCTCAGGCCTGTAATCCCAACACTTTGGGAGGCTGAGGTGGGCGGATCACAAGATCAGGAGATCGAGACCATCCTGGCCAACGTGGTAAAACCCCCTGTCTACTAAAAATACAAAAATTAGCTGGGCATGGTGGCGTGCACCTGTAGTCCCAGCTACTTGGGAGGCTGAGGCAGGAGAATTGCTTGAACCCAGGAGGTGGAGGTTGCAGTGAGCTGAGATTGCACCACTGCACTCCATTCTAGCAATAGAGTGAGACTCCGTCTCAAAACAAAAACAAAAACAAAAGAACAGTGGTACCAGAGACCTTCCCTTCTCTTGCCTTCACTGTTTCCCCCTATACTTTATGAAATGTACTGTGGCCTGAAATTTAAAACATTGCATTTGCTTAACTCAGCCACCTAAAGCTTTTATTTTTTCTTTCAGTCCCTTAAAGTAATAGGATTTAAAGCTTTTAAAAAGAAGTTCTTTATATGAAGCTCTGAGATCAAATGTGAAGTGAACAAGTTGTTTTCTCTGATCCATCATAGGGTTTTTTCTGCATTTTGGATATGTGAGAGTTTTGAACTTCTGCTACATAAAACATCATAGCAATCATACACCCTACAGTTTATGATGTAATTAATATGGTAATATATTATCTTCATATATTAAATTCCCAAAAAGATTCTATTAATCTAAGATTAATATAGCATGTCATTGATGTTTACATTATTTGTCACAAATTCAGCATTTAAGAATGAGTAAACGTGCACACACATGAGGCTGTGTGTGGCTGTAAGATTCTGTTTCAAATCCTGGCAGGAAAGACTAATGTGTAACTTCAGCTCTGCAGCCTTGAGGAAGTTACATCACCTTCAGAATCTCACTTGGCTCCCAGGTAAACAGTGAGTAATTATACAGGTCTCCAGGAGATAGGATGTATACTATCTGATTTTTGTTCACAAAAAGGCATATAAATTCCAAGCATTGCTAGAAATTAAAATTTCACCTCACATAATTCATCTATGCCTTTATAAATCTCCTCTCTGTTTTCAATTAGATGGGATATGCCTCATTATTTCTCATTTAGAACCAGCCATTTGAACGAATTTTATATTCGTTTGAATGAATATAAAATGGTTTGCTTTCAGCCATTTTATATTCATTCAAATATTAGCTTTCTTTTAGTTCTTGAAAGGATTTCTGTTTGTCTCCCATTATGCTTATTTTTATAATATATAAAATTTTATATTTTTATAATATGTAGAAGTTAAAGTGTTCTATTTAGAAATGTAAAATTCTCTGGATCTATTGCATGAGGTGGATGAGGAGACATGCAGCAAACGCCAATTCCTAATAATTGTGCTGGTCAGGGTGCCAGCAGGAAGCTAGTGACACCCTCAAAAGGGGCCGTGGAAAGGAGTTTAATGAAGGGACTCTTTATAAAGATGTGGAAACCATTCAGAGAAAGCAATAAGGAATAATAAAGCACCCTGGATCCACCTGTGCCTCAAAGAGCAACAGGAGGGACGGGTAGCCAGACCCTGACAAGAGTTGTGTCTGCTGTGGAAGAAGGCCCACGAAATGAGAGCACCCACTGCCAGACCTCTAGCCAGTCAGGGGGAAGGCAGAAGGGAAGCAAGGGAAATAAATATCCCAACCCTCCTTCACTTTGTTCTCTTGCCTTCCTTCCTTTATTCAAACTTAGCTATACAAGCCAGCGGGCAACGGAGCCAGTTGATGCAGTCCATAGAGAGTCATTCCCTAACACACAGCAGAGTGGGAAAGAGTGGAGAGTGATCTGGAAGAGCAAACAAAAGATAACTAGTACAGTGGTCTATTGGAAAAAGCATCCCAAATTTATGTTGGCCTTTGGGGTTTGGTACATACATACCTGCACCCCCATACTTAGGCCTTGACCCCTTTAGTTCCAAGCACCTTTCTTCTCAGCTCGGCCATTATGGGTCTTAAAGTGGAGCTGGCCACCATGGATGATGCCCAGATCAGCTCACTGCTCTGTGGATAGTAAGACTTGACTAATAAGTCGATGGCTTGGGCACCCTGGGTGACATTCCCAGGAGGCTGTCTAGGAGGAGCTCTCCCTCACTCTCCCTGTCCTCCTTTTCCAGGTTGGAGCTTCAGCATGGGATCGGCCTACCAGTTTCACAGTTGGCGTGTGTTTGTCATCGTCTGTGCACTCCCTTGTGTCTCCTCCGTGGTGGCCCTCACATTCATGCCTGAAAGCCCACGATTCTTGTTGGAGGTAACAGTTATTATTGCAGATACTCAGGCAGCCCACCTCTATTGGAAAAAGTTCCATGTTAATTCTAGGAAAGCACATTTGCCTATTTGAGAGGTACATTTTCCCTTCCTATTATGGAATGATGGAGGGTTTGGTTTCATGGAGACCTGCTTTCAACAACCACCATGTTAAAAAGCTGCCTCGTGGCTAGAAAACACTCATGTTTCTACTTAAGCAAATAACTTGACTCAATGAAGAAAACATGATTTATTGTTTTAAAGTGAAATTTTACCATCTGGAGATACTATTTCTAGTTATAACCACATTATTTGAACTGCTCATGTGTTCATTGATATCCAAATAGTCTGTGCGTTCCAATGGGATGTACTGAGATACATTTGCACAATTACACCTCATTTGATCTAACAATGCAAGATGGCTATTGGAAAATCAGGGACAGTAAGTGTGTCACTCCTAGCACTTCACTGTCCACTCTCATTTCTTAGGTTGGAAAACATGATGAAGCTTGGATGATTCTGAAGTTAATTCATGACACCAACATGAGAGCCCGGGGTCAGCCTGAAAAGGTCTTCACGGTGAGTCTTCTCCTCAGAGAATCCTCAGCACCAGGGATTGAGACATGTTTAATGTCAAGGGAAAAATTGTAAATATTTTAGACTTTTCAAGTCATATAGTCTTTGACACAGCTACTCAACTCTACCATTGTAGTGCAAAAGCAGCCATAGGCAATGTTAAAACAAATGGGATGACTGTGTGTCAATAAAACTTTATTTACAGAGACAGGCGGAGGGCTGTTTTTGGCCCATAGGTTGCCAACCTCACTTATGCCTATCTAGGACTCAAGGGCTCTGTGGTTGATTAAATGATAACACCAACCCAAGAGATGGGGTTAAGGTGGAAAGACTGAATTTTCATCACAGACTTATTCTCTGACTCAAAGGCTTAGTACCCGAGGACAAGAGATTCTTGGTGTAGGGACTGCCAGCTGATTCTCCTTGACCTGCTACCAGAAGAGAGCCAGCCTCTGCAGGGCCATTTCCTCCACTCAGCCAGGTCACACCTTTTCAAATGACACTCAGCCCCCACAAAGGTATACACTCACAGCAGCCCCATAACATTTTCTCTAAGACGTCACAGAGACATCTTAGAGAGGTATGCCTCTATTAAGACCACCTTGAGGCCTGTAACAGACCTTGGAATACATAGTAAATTGTAAAATTATTTATTGAAAACAAAAAAATACAGTATCGAATAAGTGAGAAAACAATTACACTAAGGATCAAAGCAATGTAACTGAACATAAAACTAATCTCTGGGTTTCCTGATATATTAGTCCATTTTCACGCTGCTGATAAAGACATACCCAAGACTGGGCAATTTATAAAGGTAAAAGATTTAATTGACTCACAGTTCAGCACGGCTGGGAGGCCTCAGGAAACTTCTGCTCATTGCAGAAGGGGAAGCGAACATGTCCTTCTTTACATGGCAGCAACAAGGAGAAATGCTGAGCAAAAGGAAGAAAATCCCCTTGTAAAACCGTCAGATCTCATCGGAACTCACTGACTATCATGAGAACAGCAGCATGGGGGTAACTGTCTCCATGAATCAATTACCTCCCACTGGGTCCCTCCCACAACACGTCGGGATTATGGGAACTACAATTCAAGATGAGATCTGGGTGGGGACACGGCCAAACCCTATCACCTGACAACCAAAGCAAAGGATAAATTTAATGAATTATATCATTATTGATATAAAGCAAATGGCAGTATATTCGCTTTTCAGGAAAGGCCAATTTTATTTTGTTCTAATTTGTGAAAAGTTTATTCATAGGCCTTATTATAAGGGATATTGAACAATATAATGTACATTATTTTCAATAATACTTTTACATAAAGGCAGACATTTCACACATGGCCATTTCCTAGGTTAATAATTAATCAGAATTTGGTAAAGGAAGGTAGCTATATAGGAAGCCAGAGAAAGGTAATCCAAGAATGTGGCTTCAACTTGATATAGCTTGACATGAACGTAAGGTATAAAAGAATCATAGATACAGTTCCAAAAATATATATTTCATTTTATTATACATGCATGCACATGGGCACACACATACATAGCACACACCCCAGTTTCACATTCTAGCAGCTTCCCATTGCTCTCAGGATAAAGAAAGAAACCCTCCCTCTGGACACTAAGGCCCTGCCAGTCTCCTTCCTGCCTGCTCTCTGGTTCCCTTCTCTCTGCAGCTACGTTCATCCCTCAACTCCTCGCACTCGACATTTGACTTACTGTACAGCACTGCCACGGTGCTGCTGTTTGCTTTGCATGGAACATTCCTCCATCTCTAGTTACAAAGCTGATTCTCCATGGGGAAAGCCAGTATAAATTAATTTAAATTGGTTGCATGAAATGTTTTGGAAGGAACAATGGTTTAAAATCTTTCGATATATGCAGTCATATAATTAGACTAAAAATGGTCGAGTGTAGTGGCTCACACCTGTAATCCCAGCACTTTGGGAGGCCGAGGTGGGCGGATCACAAAGTCAGGAGATTGAGACCATCCTGGCCAACATGATGAAACCCCATCTCTGCTAAAAATACAAAAATTAGCTGGGTGTGGTGGCATGTGCCTATAATCCCAGCTACTCGGGAGGCTGAGGCAGGAGAATGGCTTGAACCCAGGAAGCGGAGATTGCAGTGAGCCAAGATGGTGCCACTGCACTCTAGCCTGGCGATAGAGCGAGACTCCGTCTCAAAAAAACAAACAAACAAACAAACAAATAGACTAAAAATGTTTTGTCTACAGTAGGTTGGAGGGACATACCATAAGATGTAAATGGGAAAGTACATAAGATCTTCAGTGGCTTATACATAACATCAATTCAGTTCTTAAAACACACGAAATCACTTTTGATTAAATAGTCCCCTGCTATCTCATTTATTCATTTCATTTTATTTAGGAAATGAATTTTTCATAATGTAAAGATAGACTGCAATTTGGCCTCTATCCAAATTATCACAGATTCTTAATTAGCAAAATTTTCTCTGCAGTGTAATGCAGAAATGAAGATAAGTAATGGATATCCTTAATTAAGGCCTGGAAGCTGTTGAGGACTCTTCTTTTGAGTAGATGTATAAGAGAGGGAAAAAATTTTAATTTAAAGGATCATACGGCTGGAAGAATCTTGAGACATTATCTGGGTATACAACATCACTTAACTCTTCTCAGCCAGATGAAGAGAAACCCTTTATTTACCAGACCTTCTGAGAAGGTGTCTCTGTAGGGCCTCATTGCCCTACTTACCTGCCTTTTCTTCCAAAAGGGTTGAGTTACCAAGTCCACTAATGGCGATCTGTGTTAATGTTGTTATACGAGGCCGGGCGTGGTGGCTCAAGCCTGTAATCCCAGCACTTTGGGAGGCCGAGACGGGCGGATCACGAGGTCAGGAGATCGAGACCATCCTGGCTAACACAGTGAAACCCCGTCTCTACTAAAAAATACAAAAAACAGCCGGGCAAAGTGGCGGGCGCCTGTAGTCCCTGCGACTCGGGAGGCTGAGGCAGGAGAATGGTGCAAACCCGGGAGGCGGAGATTGCAGTGAGCTGAGATCCGGCCACTGCACTCCACTCCAGCCTGGGCGACAGCGCGAGACTCTGTCTCAAAAAAAAAAAAAAAAAAAAAAAAAAAAAAAAAAAAAAAAAAAAAAAAGTTGTTATACGAAGGTTAGAAGAGAATAAGATGGATATACTCCAAAAGTGACTGATAATTTCAAAGTCATTTATATGTGACTTTCAAAAAGTTGTTACATGATTCTCCCATGACAAATTTATCTTTTTATTTTTTGAATCTACAGTATAGCAAAATTGCATGTCTTTACTAAGGTCTCCTTTTTTTTTTTTTTTTTTTTTTTTTTTTGAGACAGGGTCTCGTTCTCTTGCCTAGGCTGGAGTGCTGGAGTGCAGTGGTGTGATCACAGCTCCCTGCAGCTTCAACCTCCCTGGCTCAGGTGATCCTCCTGCCTCAGCCTTCCTAGTAACTGAGAATACAGGCATGTACCACCATACCTGGCTGATTTTTGAATTATTTGTAGATAATTCACAACGGGTCTCCTTATGTTGTCCAGGTTGGTCTCAAACTCCTAGGCTCAAGTGATCCTTCTGCCTCAGCCTCCCAAAGGGCTGGAATTACAGATGTGAGTCACCATGCCTGGCCCTCTTAAGGTTTCCTCTGAAGCTCTTCTTCGTGTGCCCTTACCTTAAATATTGTTTTCCAAGACTTCATTTTCAGCTAACTTCCATTTTAACCCTATTCACTCTCCTTAGCTGATCTCAGCTGTTTCCTGCATGTCTCCTAATGCACAAACCTCCTGAGCTCCAGATATGCAGGTTGAAGGGCTCTGTGGGCATCCTTCTAGATTACATAGACTCTTTAAAAATGGCATCTTTGGGCAGCGAGGGGTGGGGGAAAATGGCATCTTTAAATCTGAATTTATCACCTAACGAGTCCCCAAGCCTTATCATTGTCCTAAATTTCATCAGCAGCTACCACCAGCACCACCTAAACCTAAAAACTATATTCTTTCTTTTAGCTTCAGTACATCTAAGAAACCATTGTGTTTTATTATTCCACCTCCTAAATATCAGTCCACTGCCGCTGATTTGGTGCAGTCCTCCTTATTCACTGCCCTCTGACCTTCTGCTATCCCTCAGGAATCCCAAGCTCTTTGCAGTTTCCTGGCACACTCTTTTCCCTCCTAACTCTGGACGTTTGTTTGCACATATTTCTCCCACTTGGAATGTCCTCCAAGCAGGTTACATGCATGGCAGATAGCATATTTCTCTATAAGCCTGCAGTTCCTGAAGCCTCTCTCTCACTTCCAGGTTAAATGGGCTGTTCTGAACAGTATTTCCTTCCCATCTATATAGATCCCCATTGGAGTACTGTTTTTTCATTTTGTATGGTAATTGTTTGGAGCCCCATGGCTGCCTATGTTTGCATCCCGCATGGGTGCCAATGAATAAATGAACAAACAAACATCAATGAGTGAAAAAGAGGAAGCCTCCCAAAAGTGGATTAAGACTGTCCCATGATGAAAAAAAAAAAAAAGGCCGGGCGCGGTGGCTCAAGCCTGTAATCCCAGCACTTTGGGAGGCCGAGACGGGCGGATCACAAGGTCAGGAGATCGAGACCATCCTGGCTAACCCGGTGAAACCCCGTCTCTACTAAAAAATACAAAAAAATCAGCCGGGCGAGGTGGCGGGCGCCTGTAGTCCCAGCTACTCGGGAGGCTGAGGCCGGAGAATGGCGGGAACCCGGGAGGCGGAGCTTGCAGTGAGCTGAGATCGTGCCACTGCACTCCAGCCTGGGCCACAGAGCGAGACTCCGTGTCAAAAAAAAAAAAAAAAAAAAAAAAGAAAAAAAAAAAACACCTTTTTTTAATCTAGAGTTTTAAAAACATAATTCCTACATGGATTATTTTGAGCTGACTGCATTTGATTTGCAATTCCATATTTAACTCAGAGATTATTTTTGCTGAGTACAGACATCTTTGTTTACCCGGCCAGAAAGAAGCCACTGCCTACTTGGTATAATTTGAAAGGTGCTGAGGGTCTCCAAGCCACCTCTGTCTAAAACTGGCCTAGGTACCTGTATTCTGCCAATAGAGTTGCCACTTTAGATGTTGGCAGGATGTCCAGAAAAACCTGTTCAAACCTCTGGCAAGGATAATGTGTACACATTTCCATGTCCTCTCAGATTTATCAAAAACAGGTAAATCTCGATTAGCAGGAGAAGGCGGGCTAGGCCCACAAAGGTCCCATTCTTCCTTTTTTTCTATTTTCAGAATTCATTCTCTTTGCTTCTCCTGTCTTTTGGTTCTCTTCCTTAGCAAAAAGAGGCTAACTGAAGTCATAGATGCTGCTTTTCATGCTAAACCTCTATCATTTATTTCCCTTACATGGCTGAGAAATTCATGTTGATGCTTGCAATCAAAACTCCTTCACTTAATCTTGAATCGTGGCTACCTGTGGGTATTTGCTGACTAGCCACTGTGGGTTAGGCTGTGGGAAAAGGAAGAAAAGGACCGGAAGTGGTGCTCTGAGAATAATGATGGGAATGCTTTCAGAACTACAGTTAAGGGTCAAATTCATCAAATCAGTATGTTTCAAAGAAAAAAATGTGTACACTCACTTTAGCCCAAGCTAAATAATTCTTAATCCAGAATCTAACTTATCCGGATGTTTTGTCTGCTAATGTGTGTCTCTGTAGTAATGGTTCAGGGAGGGCATTTTGGTTTCACATTATTCTATTATTACTTGCCCTTCCCCCATTTCTTTGTGGTTTTCCCTCTCACTCATTCCTTCTTCAGTTCTTCTAGGTGCTGTTCGGATCCGTATAATTATGCCAATGGTCTCATATATGTATGAAGTGATGACCAAATACCGCCTACTTCTTGCCAGAGTCAGTTTTTGCTCCTGTAAAAACAAATTGTAAGTCTACAATCAGCAACTTCAGAGAAGGTAACTTAGCGCTTTGATCTGTTTCTCTCTACAGGTAAACAAAATAAAAACTCCTAAACAAATAGATGAGCTGATTGAAATTGAGAGTGACACAGGAACATGGTATAGGAGGTGTTTTGTTCGGATCCGCACCGAGCTATATGGAGTAAGTAACAAGTCCCCTGATGACCTGCATGTCACTTTATTGCATTTGAGGTTAGTCAGAAGAGGGGTTTACTGGACCTGCCCTATGAGCGAGGTTCTTTCCTCCTGCCCCCGACACCTGACTCCTGGACCACAGCCAGGTCATTGGATCCCTCTCGACCAGCATTTAGCCAATACATTCCATCTGGGAAAGATGGAAAGATGGAAAGGGAAAGTGTTAGTTAGTGCCAGGAGTCTTGGCAGTGGCAGGGTGCCTTCAAGTCTTGAGTTGCTTTGTCCATTGGCATCCAGGAAGCTGAAGAATGAAAATTCTGGCCGGGCACGGTGGCTCAAGCCTGTAATCTCAGCACTTTGGGAGGCCGAGACGGGCGGATCACGAGGTCAGGAGATGGAGACCATCCTGGCTAACACAGTGAAACCCCGTCTCTACTAAAAAATACAAAAAACTAGCCAGGCGAGGTGGCGGGCGCCTGTAGTCCCAGCTACCCGGGAGGCTGAGGCAGGAGAATGGCGTGAACCCAGGAGGCGGAGCTTGCAGTGAGCTGAGATCCGGCCACTGCACTCCAGCCTGGGTGACAGAGTGAGACTCCGCCTCAAAAAAAAAAAAAAAAAAAAAGAATGAAAATTCCAATTACCTTTAGCTTTTACGTTTTAAGGTGAAATGAATTCAACTCAATGACAACTCAGCTTTTTTTATAATTTGGTGGAAGGGGTCGGGGAGTGGGGTTGACTAAGTAACTGCATGAGAAAACTAACTCTCTAATATTTCACAGATTTGGTTGACTTTTATGAGATGTTTCAACTATCCAGTCAGGGATAATACAATAAAGCTTACGATTGTTTGGTTCACCCTGTCCTTTGGGTAAGTGATATTTAAATTCTTGGCAAGCAAAATTGTTCAATGTCCACATTGTAACTCCCAGCCATGCTGCTTTCTTTTCTTATATTGCTTGATGCTGTTAACCTGCTAAGGAATAAATTGTTTTAGGTTCGCTGAGAGTTGTGGTTGTTATAAGCCAGTTATTTTATTTGTTTTGTCATAAAGCCAAGGTAGCAAAACCAATTGTATCTGCAAAATCCAGTAAGGCCCTGGATGATTTGCCCCATGACTTCTCTGTCGTGTCCTCCTTTGCCCAGTCCCAGCCATACCAGCCTCTCTGCTCTTCTTTGAACATTCTAGAACAGTTCCCATCTCGGGCCTTTGCAGTGTTCCTCTGCCTGAGTTGCTTTCCCCTCCAGACATCTGCCCAGTTCATTTCTTTACCCTCTTCAACTCTTTCCTATATGTTACCTTCTCAGTGATGTCATCCTCTCTTTTAAAAAAATTGCAGCCCCTCCACACTCCCTATCCCCTTCTCAGCTCTACTTTACCCCACAGCACTTTCTACCTTCTAATATGCAAAATGCTCCTTTATTCTGTATAAAGAGTAAAGTTCTGGCTTCCCTCTCTGGAAGTTCCATGAGGACAGGGGTTTTTAACTGCCTTGTTCAAAGCTGAGTGTGATGCCATGCACCTATATTCCAAGCTATTCTGGAAACTGAGGTGAAGGATTGCTTGAGCCCAGGAGTTGGAAGCTTAAGTGTGTTATAATCACACCTGTGAATAGCCACTGCCCTCTAGCCTGGACAACATACCAAGACCCCATCTCTAAAAAAAATAATAATAATTTCGTTTATGTCTCATTCACTAATGTATATTCCTGGCACACAATAGCAGCTCAATAAATAGTTGTTGCCAAATGAATAAAACTACCATATATGTGTTCTAAGAAAAGAGGAAATAGGGGGAAAATATCCAGATTTTATTTGCTAATCGCTGACATATTCACTTTAGAATGTGTACAACTCTCTTGTTGCCTAATTTGCTGTTTAGAAAAGAAGAATTAGATAATACCCTACACTTTCAGGTCAGCAGGATCTCAGTACCTTATAGAGCCTAACATTTATCTTGCAAGTTTCATCTCTTAACATCCCTAAATCAAACCAGGCAAGTGATCAAAGATGACCACTCTTTCTCAGTGCTGGAGGAGGTGGAATATGGAGAAAGAAGGAAGCTGGGGGTCAGGAGACCTAGCAGCCCATTCTGCTGGGTGGTTTGGCTAGCTTGTGATTTGCAGACATTGCTTAGTCTCAGTTCCTCATTTCTATATTAAGAGGGTTGACTTAGAATATGTAAAGTAATTCCCACCTAAGCTCTAGAAAATCCATTAATCTCTGAAGGAAGGGAAGGCTGAAAATTAACCTATATTAAGTGCTTACTCTGTACCTAAGCAAGGGGTTAAGGACAAAGAAGACAAAGATAAGCAAGAAGGAAGTCCTGCTGTCAAGGTGTAAAGAGTAATCATCATTATCTGGTTTGTTTATTTTGTTTACTAATTCATTATTGATCATATTTAAAGCTTTATGATTTATTTTACTGCTATATCCCTGGCACATTAATAGTGCCTAGTATTTAGTGCATGTTCAGTAAATGTTTGCTAAATAAATGACAAATTAACCGAAAGCCCTCCAACATCGTTGATGACAGACATTCTAGTAATGTGCCCTCCTCATTGTTGCCATTTCAAGGTTTGTATGTGACTAGAGAACAATGCCATAAATGTTGTACCCCTAAGTCATTTCTTCCTCAATAACTACCCTCACACCCCCACAGTCATTACTATGAAGGAAAGGGGTGGAAATCCTGAGGCACAGATGTTTTTGGAATCCTAATGACAATGATGATAAAAATGACCCATACTGTCTTCTGAGCACTTTCTATGTGCTAGATATTTGACATCCCATTTAAACTGAGCAACCACCCAGGAAGGTGGATACTCCCGTCATTCCAATAGTAGAGATGGGCAACTGAGGGTTAGATAACTGGCCCAGGTTTAGGCAGCTAGTAAGCAACAAGACCAGGATTCAAACCCAGCCTGTCCTCCTGCAAAGGCTATGTCCATTCCCACTTCTTTCCCTGTGTCTCTTTGTCACTGGGGATAAACTAGAGCAGTGGTTCTCAAACTTGAATGTGCATCAGAAGAATCCCTAGAGGACTCCCCTGCCAGAGTTTTTAATTCATCAGGTTTCACTGGAACCTGGGTTTGTGGGGGATGATGATCCTGCTGGTCCGGGGGACCTTACCTTGGGAGGTACTACTTCAGAGTAGCACTGTACAATAGAGATATCATGTGAACCACAGATGTTCATTTCAGATTTTCTGGTAGCCACACACACACACACACACACACACAAAGTAAAAAGAAATAGATAAAATTAATTTTAATACTACATTTTGTTTCATTCATTCTCTCTTTCCTTTTTTTTTTTTTTTTTTAGACGGAGTCTCACTCCGTCGCCAGGCTGGAGTGCATTGGCTCGAGCTCAGCTCACTGCAACCTCCGACACCCTGGTTCAAGCGATTCTCCTGCCTCAAATTCCTGAGAAGCTGGGATTACAGGTGTGCACCACCACGCCTGGCTAATTTTTGTATTTTTGGTAGAGGTAGGGTTTCACCATATTGACCAGGCTGGTCTCGATCTCCTGACCTCGTGATCCGCCTGCCTTGGCCTCCCAAAGTGTTGGGATTACAGGCGTGAGCCACCATCATTTCAACCTATGATCAGTATAAAAATTATTAGCAAATATTTTTACATTCTTTTTTCCGTAAGTCTTCAAAATCCTGTGGTATTTTGTATTTATAGTATATGTTAGTTTGAACTAGCCACATCTCAACTGCTTGGTAGGCACACGTGGTTGGTGGCTTCTGTATTGAACAGCACAGCAGCATGACACAGCTGTTAGAATAACACATTAGAGGTCAAGAGGCAGAAAGGGGAAATAACTTGGAATCTCTGAGAATAACACGAATGTCCTTTTCACAGCCTCGAACTACCTTGGGAACTGGCACTCTACCCCCAGGATAACAGTATCACAGCAGTGTAGCAACCAAGAAAGATTCCCTATTAGCAAAAGAGGTCATTCTTTAAGAGCTCTCACCATGCTTGGATCCCAGGAGTTTGTACCACCAGACTAGGAGGGAGAGTTTCTCAGAGCAGCCTGGAATGATGAGAAAGATATTGGGGCCAGGATGCCAGGTGTCTTACTCCATTTCTGCCACTATAGCAAAATACCACACCAGGTAATTTGTAAATAATAGACATTTTATGTTTCACAGTCCTGAAGGCTGGAAGTCCAAGATCAAGCTGCTGGCAGATTCAGTGTGCAGTAAGGCATAGTCTCTGCTTCCAAGATGGCAGCTTGTCGCTGAGTCCTCAAGAGGGGACAAATACTGTGTCCTCATGTGGTAGAAGGGATGGAAGGGGAAAAGTGAGGGAGGCAGCACCCTCGCACCTCTTTTTATAAGGACATTAATCTCATTCATGAGGTCTCTGCCCTCATAACTTAATCACCTCCTAAAGCCCGCACCTCTAATACTTTTATATTGGGGTTTTAGTTCCAACACATGAGTTTTGGAAGGACATATTCAGACCGGGCACCATGTATGAGCATAGGATGGGATGCTTTCTGCTTGTCTCTTCCCAAAGGAAGGGTTTAGGAATTACATACCTGGGGTTCTCCGGCTAACCGTAGGCCATCTCTCAAGCTTGATTTTTGCAGATTAATGTTGGGGGAGAGGGACACGTGGATTGCTGTATGACGAATTACTCATAATATTATAGGGAGCCAGCCATTCTCCAGGAACTATTACCACTGTGAAAACACCAGGGAGGTGCTCATTGCCTCTGGCATGCTAGCGCCTTTACAAACTCACATTTCTTTGTCTTCACAGGTACTATGGATTATCTGTTTGGTTTCCTGATGTCATTAAACATCTGCAGTCCGATGAATATGCATTGCTAACCAGAAATGTGCAGAGAGATAAATATGCAAATTTCAGTATTAACTTTACAATGGAAAATCAGATTCATACTGGAATGGAATACGACAATGGCAGGTCTAGAAACTTGAAATAATTTAATTTGCTACCTATCCACAAAAGCATTTCTTCTTAGCCTTCCCTGCACTGAAACAGGCATAGTTTTTGTTTGTTTGTTTGTTTTAGTTTGTACATTTAGTCATTTTCATGGTGAATTTCAATACTTCCAAACAGGCTTTAAATAAAAGGTACAAGTGTATCCATTATTTCACTTAAAACTATTTTTGCAGCTAAGGTGCTTCATATTTATTAAGTAGTGGACTTGACTGGTGTGGAAAGAAAATTTAGAGCAATGTTGGAGAGCGACAAAAATAATGGAAGGAAGAAAAGAGTGAAGAGTATGGGAAAATAAGACAGGCTATAGGATTATTTAATTCACAGAAGAAACCTGAAATGTAATTATATGAGTCTTCTATTCCTGAGAAACAAAGCCACTTTTCAGAATTCACCCTTCTCAATATGCTGAATCCAAAATTGAGATCAAATTGCATCAGGAAGAGTTTCAATTAGAGAATAGGAATCATTCCCCGAAGTAAAGGGCTTTGAAAGATGGAAGGGTCTCCTTTATGGGATTTGAAATATTTCTTGATGACAAGAGAGAACTGACTCAGGGAGGTGGTCCTGGGTCATTCTTTTAGACAGGGAAAAGAGTAGACCAAGTACTTGTTTATATCCAAGTATTTTTGTTGCCTGAACAAATAATTGCCAGTGTAAGTTCATGATAGTTTGCATCATTCTTAGGAAATTGTCCCAATTTCAAAAGTGATAAAAGTAAAACTCTAAAATAATCAAAGTTCCCCAGAGCAAAAACCAGTTCAGAAAGATGAAAAAGAAATCAGTGGGATACTTATGATCTGTGTAATGGAAAAGAGGGTTACTAACTAGGAGGTAATTGTTCAAATTAGCAATTCAATGAAGGAACTAATCATAATCCAAGCCAAGTAGGATCACCTTCACTGTCCCACATAAAATACTGACTTGAATCTGCACTTACATTTCACAGAAAGCTTAGCGTCAAGTCCTCTGTGATGCCAGCGTGAAAACTGACTTTCAAAAGTATTGTTACTCCATTAGAAATTTCTAATATATGTTTGTGTCTCTGACAGTCATATTTTTAGTAATATATGTTAAAGTTCTAAACTGGATATTCGGTCACTGCTTAGAACTTTTTTACATTAGCAATATAATGATTACTAATTTTAATAGTATTACAATTTTTGTAAAACACATATGTTACACATTTATTTTAAAAGATGATAGAAACAATTTTTTTCTCCTTCAGGAAAATTTGAAATACCATTAACAGATTCATTTCTTTAAAAATAGCTTTTTTATTCAGCATCATAAAATGGCAACTCTTTATGTACTAATATGGAATAACCTCCAAGGTAGACTAGAAGGAGATAAAGCAGGTGTACTTTAGACACAGAATGCTCCTGGAAGAGCACACAAGAAACTGACAACAATGGTTATTCTGGGCAGAGGAACTTGTGGCCTGGGGATGGATGGGTAAAGACTGACTTTTTCTGCATTCAACCTTTCGAATTGTGCATCGTGTGTCCTCTCTGAATTATCCATTCAAAAAATAAAACTGATTCATTCCCTTTTCCAAATTCAGTTCCATGACAGAAAAATTGATAACTTTTTAAAGCTATGCCATTATTTAGCCTCTTTTGGTGCATTTAGATGTTTTTACTCTGGGTCCCTGGAGTGGGGATTGAAACAAGATCGTTATTATTTTTTCCAGGTAATGTACCATGGGCAATGATTTTTTTTTAAGCTGATTGGTCTGTGAGGCCACAGTGCATTGTGAACCAACACACGTAATTGGGTATTAGGGAGAAAGTAATTTTGAAAGTACTCAATAGTTAGTAAATTGCTTTTAAATCAACCTACTTACCTAGAAGGATCAGTCCCTTTCTGCCCCTAATAAGAGGGGTATTGACATAATAACTCCTTCCCCAGGAGAACAAGCATTATCCTCTCAGTGACTGGATCAGTCCCTTTCTGCCCCTAATAAGATTGGTATTGACATAATAACTCCTTCCCCAGGAGAACAAGCATTTTCCTCTCAGTGACTGGCTAAGTGTACATTCATAGTCTCTTTAAAAAGTACCAAGACACATTAATGAATATTTATCTGTGTCTGCTGGGAGTCCTTATCAATGCTGATAAGGCCTGAATCATGGACTCTTCTAAGATGTTATGATCATTATGACTGTTACCATCTTTACCACGTAGAATTCCCCCTTATAACACCCAAAAATGTACCTGAACAGGTTTCATCATTCTTCATGTTTCCAAAAATAAGCAGAGTTCTCATAATTCTGTTTGGTTGAAGGGACCATCTGTTGGCTGTAAGAAGAAAAATTATCCTGGAAATGAGTGTCACCTATGAGTTTCTTCAACCCCAAGTCAGTTATTCTTCATATAAATGAAACAGAATTCTCATGCTCTCTCTTTGGGATAATTGGAGATCCCTACACTAGAATGAAGAAGACTGGATTTTCAGCTAGGGAAAAATAATTTTATTAAAGGATCGGGTAGGAGGACATCCTTAAGTTAGAGGCATTAACCCCAAATAGAGAATATTCAAATAAAGATATATGTGAAGAGACAATAGGATTAAAACCTAAAGAACAGCCCCAGGTAATCCCCAAAGTATCTTCAGTTGCATACCCCACAAAACATTTTACCAACATTGCAAAAAGCTAAGGGAAGTTAGGAGTGTCATCTCTTTATTGGTAAGCAACAAGATAGGCAAAGGTCAGCCTGGATAAGGAAAAGGGGAAAAAGCAGAGAGCTAAGAAAATCCAGAAGTCTGTGTTCTTTATAATTAAGACAGTGGGGCATTCCATCTCTAAAACTGTTTGACTTAGCTTTGAACTTTGATGGACACAGTCATTGATATGAATTTTTCTGTGTGTTGGGCAGATTCATAGGGGTCAAGTTCAAATCTGTAACTTTCAAAGACTCTGTTTTTAAGTCCTGCACCTTTGAAGATGTGACTTCACTCAACACCTACTTCAAGAACTGCACATTTATTGATACTGTTTTTGACAACACAGGTAAGTGTGCTGCTTAGTACTGCCTCTACCTGAGGCCTCGTCAAAGGGCCCACTGTGATAACCCTGTAATAATGTGGATGGAGGCTTATGCGGGAAGTGGATATTAAAGAATAAATGGAACAAGTTATCTAAATCAGGTTGGATCAAAGGTTGGCTCATATTGTTTGTCTTTGTCAGATTTAGTGCAAATGGAGCTTGCCACAGTTCAAAAGTTGGCAACAACAACAACAACAAAAAAATCCTTTGATGAATAAATTTTTAAAGCGAAGACCTAACCTCTAGTTTATTTGTTTTGACAATCCTGGGTTCAAAATCTGATGTTTGTTTAAATGCCTCAACTCTATAGCCAACAGAGATAGACAACAAGTGGCTACATTCAGATATATTTTTAGCCAAATCCATGTAACGGGGTATTTTAAACTCCCTGGGGGTGGGGGAAAAGGAAGGCAAACAAGCATTGATTGAGCGCCTATATACCGTTTTCTACTCTAGGTCATTAGACATACATTATCTCATTTAGTTTTCACAGTAGCTGAGGCTTAGGAAAATTAAGTAATTTGTCCACAGTGTCAAAACTACTACTAACAGATGTTTGAACCCAGATTTATTTGATTTCAAAGCCTGTGCTTTCCACTTTCCCACTCCCAAACATTGGTCTGTGTGTCCTGTAAAATGCATCCAGCATAACAGCCTGGCATTGGAAGGAGCATTAGCATTTGCCCTGTTGCCAGACCTGCCTTCTTAGTGCTCAGACAAGAGTCAGCTCTGCCTAGCTCCAAAGAAGAACAGGGTCAGGTGTCTTTCTGTTTTTTGTTTTTTGAGCAATGCTATCTACCTGTCTTCTAACCCATTAAACCTCAGAAGACCAACATTTTGTCAGATCTTGATCAGCAAGGAAGATAGTTTCGATTCTCACAGCCTTTTAGCAGAAACCACCACCATCTGCAACTCTTGTTGGATGGTTTCAAATTCAAGAAAAGATTAGTAATGAATGCTTGTGACCTTCAGATGAGGCTGACTCTTGTTCCTCGGTAGATTCATGCACATAGACTTTAAATTATAAATTCAGCCTCAGGAAAGACTTGTTCCTTCTTGTGCCTTAGAGTCTCATAAAATGGCAACAATAGGCTGACTCTTGTACTTTTTTTTCCTTAGAGACAGGGTCTTGCTCTGTCATCCAGGCTGGAGTACAGTGGTGCAATCACAGCTCACTGCAGCCTCAAATAAAAAATTATTATTATTATTATTATTATTATTATTATTGTAGAGGTGGTGTCTCACTATGTTGTCCAAGCTAGTCTTGAACTCCTGCCTCAAGCAATCCTCCTGCCTCAGCCTCCCAAAGCACTGGGATTACAGGCGTGAGGTACCATACCCAGCCCATGCACATTTTGAAACAAATTGTTTTTATAAATTGTAGTGTGGACACTATTAGTACTATAGTGATAGTCTTTATATAACATGACAATTAGGACAAAGTAATATTGTAAAGGAGTAAGCAAGTAATATAATTAGCAATGGCCAACCATAGGAAACAAAAAGATAACTGGACCCCTTAATTTAATTTATTCCTTTATTCAACAAAGGTATCTCATCATTCAGCTACTTTATAATGTGAAGACCCAGACTAGATCCTATGCTTTGGCCAGAAGACACAAAAAGTCCAGCCAGCACAGGCCTGAAAGCCCTCAAGGAATTTACAATACTGTGATTCGTCTCTGAATTCTCAATAGGCTTTCTTATACTGGTGCATGCCTGATAAGAACTTAATGAATTCTCTTTGTTGTTGTTTCTACAGATTTTGAGCCATATAAATTCATTGACAGTGAATTTAAAAACTGCTCATTTTTTCACAACAAGACGGGATGTCAGATTACCTTTGATGATGACTATAGTGCCTACTGGATTTATTTTGTCAACTTTCTGGGGACATTGGCAGTATTGCCAGGGAACATCGTGTCTGCTCTGCTGATGGACAGAATTGGGCGCTTAACAATGCTAGGTAGGTACTCAGTTTCATGTCAAATGAAAGAGCTGCCCCTGCAATCCAGAGGGACCCTGTTTCCCCTTACTCCCATCTATTAGGGATTTGCATCCAATGAGGAGAAATCCCTTAGACCTCACATTAGGACTAAATTATAGTGAAAATTATGTCTAATTACATTTCATTTGAGTGGTTTCCATGAGTTAACAGACTGAAAAGCTAATTATGTGTAAAATGTGTATTTTCCCACTTCAGTAGCTGAGTAAAAGATGATATGCATTTCGTACTTTCTGTGTTGAGAGGCAGTTAGGGCCTTTCATTCAGGTGAACGCACCAGTTCTTGAGCTTTATGGAGCCCATCCTGCAGCTTCCACTTAGAATTCAGTTTTCTTGAGCAACCGCAAGGACCCAAGGGTTCTTGCTTTACTAAGATGACGGGAAACATTCCAGCCTTTTGTCTGCATTGTTGGCAGGTGGCTCTATGGTGCTTTCGGGCATCAGCTGTTTCTTCCTTTGGTTTGGCACCAGTGAATCCATGATGATAGGCATGCTGTGTCTGTACAATGGATTGACCATCTCGGCTTGGAACTCTCTTGACGTGGTCACTGTGGAACTGTACCCCACAGACCGGAGGTATGTTGAAATGGGCCTCTAGTAAGAGGCACTCTAAGCCCTGTAAGACCACTGAAAAATTATTTTAAAAGAACGCAAACTGGCTGGGCATGGTGGGTTACACCTGTAATTCCAGTACTTTGGGAGGCCAAGGCAGGTGGATCACCTGTGGTGAGGAGTTCGAGACCAGCCTGGCCAACATGGTGAAGCCTCGTCTCTACTAAAAATACAAAAATTAGCCAAGCGTGGTGCCAGGTGCCTGTAATCCCAGTTACTCAGGAGGCTGAGGCAGGAGAATCACTTGAACCCGGGAGGTGGAGGTTGTGGTGAGCCAAGATCATACCACTTTACTCCAGCCTGGGCAACAGAGTGAGACTCCATCCCAAAAAAAAAAAAAAAAAAAAAAAAGACAAACTGTCACTTCCCCAGGAAAGTAAAAATCCAAAAATATCTGGCTTCACAAAGTTGTAGGTTCCACTCATATCTTTTAGAAAAGAAAATATAGGGGAATATATGTACTAGCAGGAATTAATAGGGCAATGAAGCCAGTGAAGGAATTTAAGTGTGTCCTTAACTTAGTTTGTAGGCTAACAATATGAGGAAGCTGTAATGAAGCAGTGAGGATTAGAATTTAATAGCCTATCTTGGCCCACATTTTAAGTGGCTAACCAGTCCTTAGAGGGTCGTTTCCTTAGGTTTGCAGATGTATCTGCATGAGCTCTGCATTAAGCAACCACAAAGAGGTCTCTAGAACATATCTCTTGACCTTCCTGGTTTGTTGGAGGAAAGCCCAACACATTTCTAGTTATAAAAAACAATTGTGCTGGGTGTGGTGGCTCATGCATGTAATCCCAGCACTTTGGGAGGCCAAGGCAGGCAGATCACCTGAGGTCTGGAGTTCGAGACCAGCCTGACCAAGTTGGTGAAAACCTGTCTCTACTAAAAATACAAAAAACTTAGCCAGGCATGGTGGCGGGTGCCTGTAATCCCAGCTACTCGGGAGGCTAAGACACGAGAATCGCTTGAACCTGGGAGGCGGAGGTTGCAGTGAGCCAAGTTCGTGCCACTGCACTCCAGCCTGGGCAACAAGAGCGAGAATCCGTCTCAAAAAAAAAAAAAAAAAAAATTGCTCCCAATATGGAAACACAGAGACTCTGTGTCTCATGTCAGAAGAAAGGGCTAGGGCTTTGGGGCATAGCTTCAGCAGCTTGAATAGCTAAATTAAAATAAAAGAAGCTTTGCTTTACCATTTGACATGAGCTAAGACAAATGGCCTTTGCCTTCATGTACCACTCCTGTGCTCTGTTGCCAAAGACGTCCTCTGTGTCAGAGGGTGGAGTCAGTATTATCTGGACTTTGAAATGTAGGAGAGTTTTTTCCTAGAACTATGCCAAAACATTTGGGATATCAATTTGCAACTGATCTTGAGTGCTTCCTCTGGGCTCCTTCCCTTTTTTTACTGACCCCAAAGAGGTGCATTCTCTGTGTGGCCCGTCCTGACTCTGACTTATATTTCTTCTTCAACAACATCTATTACTGAGCTTGCAGAACCCTGTAGGCACCCTTCCATCCATCTCTCTGCAGAACATCTGACTCTCAACCCTGGATGTCTGCTTATCAAATATTCTAGTTCAGACCCTCAGTGACCCACCTATTAAATGTTTCGGCTCTGAAAGGAACCATACAATCCTTGTACGGCATCGCCTTCGTTCATTCAACAAATGTTAATTCTCTGTCTTTGTGAACGAGGTCCCGAGGTGGATGCCAGGGCTGGTGCTGCCAAAAGCAAGATTAAGACTCTGCAGCTTTCATTGAGCTTTCTTTCATCAACCTCTCATTCTGCAAACAGGGCTTAGATGTGGATTACACTATACATTTAAAATGAACCCCTCAATTGCTTGAGCCCAGGAGGTAGAGGCTGCAGTGAGCCATGATTGTGCCACTGCACTCCAGCCTGGGTAGCAGAGAGAACCTGTCTCAAACAATAAATAATAAAATAAAATAACCCCCTCAATGTTAAAGCAAGGCTAGGTTATAACCTCCTTCCTTTTTCTTGTATACTGTAAGAGTGTGATACTGTTTTAGGTGAATCAGCTGCTTATCCCTCTGTCATAAGGAATAGAAGGATGAATATTCACCTAGTACAGAAATTTGGCTTAAAAAAAAACCCTCATACATTGAAATTGGTCAGGTCCTTCTTGTGAGAAGCACAGACCTACCGTGTTTCTGTTGTCAGAAAGGTTAAATATCAATTGAAATAAAAACAAATTCAGGTCCTCCATGAAGCAGATGCCAGGATGGGATTAAACATGCAAAAATGTTATTAGAGGAAATGACTGTGTGAGAGAAGATGGAGAGGGAGGGAGTGAAGTATGGGAGAGCTGCAATGCAACTCTAAGCCTAAGTGAAGGAGGGAGGAAGGAGCATTTGGGTGGAACCTCCCAGACTATCCAGTAATCTAAGGAAGGTTTGGCAAGGCTGTTGGAGACCCAGGGGTCATGACAACATCAGCCTCAGGGGAGTCCTGTGTGACCCAGGAAGCAGCCTGCAGTAATAGTCCTGTCACGTCCAGTCATTGTCTGGGAGCAGCATGTGGGAAAACACCTCTGTGCACACCAGCACGATAACGCGAAGGTCTGCCGGGTGCATTCTCGCTGCGGTCATGCTGTTGCTGGCAGACATTCTCCAGCACTTAAGTAGATGTCATCAGATAATCACAGGAAGTCATTTCCTTTGGTGATCTAGAAGATGACTTGTGCTCCAGAGCAGCGTGGCCATGGCCATGGTAAATTCGCTAGTATGAGCTAATTAGTGGGTATCTGAACATGTTTCAGGCTAAAACCTCTTCCACCTTTTCCATGTTTCTCTGGGTTGCATTAGGAGGTCTCCACTGATCTCTAGCTTAGCTATTAGAGGAAAATCCCAACCGGTTTGTGTTGAGATACTCTATAGCCTCCTCTCCCCATGGAGGCAGGATAGAATACAAGAATACAGGAATAGGACATAAAAATTCTGGCTAGAGGCTGTGTTTTACTTCATTCTTTTGTGTTGCTCTAAGAAAGTACTTGAGACTAAGTAGTTTATAAAGAAGAGAAATTCATTTTCTCACAGTTCTGGAGACTGGCAAGTTCAAGATCAAGGCAGGTTTGGTGTCGGGTGAGAGTTACTCTCTCCTTCCAGATGTTGCTGAGTCCTTCAGAGGGGATGAACACTGTGTCCTCACATGGTGGATGGCAGAAGAGCAAGAAGGGCCAAACACTGTGTGAAGCCTCTTTTATAAGGGCCTTAATTCCATTCACCAGTGAGAAGCCATCATGACCTAATCACCTCCTAAAGGACCCCCTCTCTTAATACTGTTGCAATGGGGAATTAAGTTTCAGCTTGAATTTTGGAGGTGTGCAAACATTCAAACCATAGCAGAACTGTAATTTTCATCATAGAATGTTAGCACTGCCAACTTCCTGCCCAGTTTCTAGAATCTGGCCTTAAAGATCAGAATGGAACAATGAGTCCAGGCCCCTTTTGAGCCATCGAACGACCAACTCCTGCCAAAATGCCAGTCAAAATTATCTTTGGGCAACATAATTTAAGGTATATTCTAAGTGCTATGAAAGTTATAACACTTGCAAGCCATGTTTATCAACCACATTACAGACTTATACCTCTAATATTATACCTTTGATTTTACTAGGGATTTGTATTGGTTTGTTCTTGCATTCCTATAAAGAAATACCCAAGACTGGGCAATTTATAGGAAAAGAGGTTTAATTGGCTCATGGTTCTGCAGACTGTACAGGAAGCATAGGAAGCGTAGTGGCATCTGCTTCTGGGGAGGTCTCAGGAAGCCTCCAATCAGGCAGAATGTAAAGGAGGAGCAGGCACATCACTCGTAGAGAGCAGGAGCAAGAGAGCTTGAGGGGAGGTGCCACACACTTTCAAACGACTATATCTCACAGGAACTCACTCACCATTGCAAGGACAGTACCAAGGGCATAGTGCTAAACCGTTCATGAGAAATCTGCCCCCATAATTCAATCATCTCCCACCAGACCCCATCTCTGACATTGGGGATTACATTCCAACATGAGATTTGGGTGGGGCACACATTCAATCTCTATTAGGATTACATTTGCATCTACTATGAGAACACTAATGAGGACATTGTTCATTATAGGACACATCTTCTTCTACTCAGAGTCCACCATGAAGACTGAACATCTCAGGGTGGGTTCTAGGAATCATTTTGTATTCTTCCACCCACGCTTTGAGAAGCTGTTATGTGTCCTCACTTCATATGATAAAAATTGTGTAATGCTTCACATTTCCTTCTCTGTTGTGCAATCAGGAAGCAGAGAGCCTGTGCCTCTGCTAAATCTGCATGATCCGGATACTTGTTGCACTCTTCCTTATCTTGATTTGCCCCCTCTTATGCCCATTTTATTAATATTGTGTCTTTTATAAGTTATCCTACCTAGATCCTTTGCTAAAGAGGCAGGAAATTTTGGAATTAAACCTAGATGTACTTATTGAATAGCACTTTTCTGTGCCAAAAAAAATGAAACAACCATTTTTCCATTCTGTAAATGCCATCAACGTTCTCCCTTCTTCAAAACCTCAGTATCAAAAATGAGCATAACAATTGCAATCATAAACAGATGCATGGTGACATTCTAGCTTTTTCCCCAGATTAAAGAGCACTTGCACAATGATTGGGACATGATGATTTAAGGGGCATAAAAAGAGGTGGAAGGAGGATGGAACATTCCAACCCTCTGGACATATGGTTGGTTTTTCTGGAAACCAGCCCAATCCAGAAGCTACCTAGGATCCCCTCAGCCAAGAGTCATCTCATTCCCCTACAAAAGACACTCTTTTGGTGGAGTAGGGGGAAGGATGGGGTCTCCCTCTGTTGCCCAGAGCTACAATCTGTCACCAGAGCTGGAATGCAGTGACTCAATCATAGCTCACTACAGCCTCATACTCCTGGGCTCAAGCAATCCTCCCACATCAGCTTCCAAAGT